CCTGAGCTTCAGTATTCTTTTTTTTTGGGGGGGGGGGTGGAAGGGCAGAAGGAGAGGGAGAGTGAGAATCTTAAGCAGATTCCACACCTAGTGTGGAGCCAGACGCGGGGCTCAATCTTACAACTCTGAGATCATGACCTGAGCTGAAATCAAGAGTCAGACACTTAACCAACTGAGCCATCCAGACGCCCCTCAGTATTCTTTTCTATCAAAAGCTAGTAAGTCACAAGGATGAAAGGTACAGCACGGGAATATAGTTAGTGGTAACTGTAATAGCATTGTATACTAAGAGACAATAGTTACACTTGGGGTGAACGTAGCATAACATACAGAGTTGTTGAATCACTATGTTGTACATGTGAAACTAAGGTAACGTTGTCTGTCAATGTCAATTAAAAAATACCTATCTCATTAGGTGGCTATGAGGCTTAAATAAAAAAACATGTAAAGTGGCTATTAGTAGGCATTCCATAAGTAATAGTTGATATTATCATTATTATCGTTACCACACAGGCAAATAAGAAACAAGGTGAGCATTCTGACTGCCTAGCTTGCAGCCTGGAAGCCATACTCAGGCTGCAGCACAGGCAGGAGTATAGAGCCCAGAGGTCTCCTCGATGTGAGAAGACAGAGGCCAGAGCTCTGGGAGGCCAAGGCAGCCAGAATTTGTGAGGAAGACTATTGGATATGGAAACACAGAGAGAGAGAGAGAGGGGAATGGGAGGGAGGAAGTGAGAGAGAGCTCCTGAGATATTCAGAGGGATACTTTCAAATCTTTGGCTGAGAATTGATCTGTAAGTGCATGAGGTTGGGAGGCTGGAGAAAGTACTATCAGAAAATATGACAAAATGGAGCTCACAGAGGACTAGAAATAGTTTGCACTCCCAACAGCCAAGTGAAGAACTCTTGAAATACACAGGGCACTGAATGCATTCCTCAGGTTGTGACTTAGTCACAGGACTTAATTAGCCTCAGATTAAAGGCTGCTAAGAACCTGTCATAACAAAGCTTAAAAAAGCAAACTTCAAACCAATCTGCAAGTGACTTATCTCTATGTGCCAGAGTAAAACCCCTACTCAACCCAATACAAGATCCAGCCCTCAACAAGATTAAAACAAAACAAAACCTCACAAAATCTAGTATCTTGTCAAAAATTGCCAGGCTTGCAAAGAAGCAGAAAAAAACAGGACCCATAGGAAGGGGGTGGGGGGGGAAACTGTAAAATAGTACAGAAATAACAGAGGTAGTGAAATTAATAGTCAAAGACCTTCAAACAGCTATTATAAATATTACACATATGCACAAAGATGCCAAGGAAAGCATGAACATAATGAGGTAAGGGAAAATATAAGACCCAAATGGAATTTCTAGAAGTAAAAATAAAATATCTGAAATGAAAAATAAATTAAGTAAAATTAACAACAGGTTAGACACTGCAAAAAAGAGCAATGAATTTGAAGACATGGTAACTGGAATTTTTTTTTTTTATATTATTATTGGTGCTTCTAAGGAAATGTGTTTAGAATAAAGTGTGATGCAGGTAAGTTCAATATATCAAGATATGTCAATATATCAAGAGCATTTGTTCATAAAAGATTATATACTACACAAACTATTCAAGTCATACAAAACCACTTTCTCAGTGTCTTTTCAACTGAGAAGAATCCTATTCAGTACACTTCCTCTCCTCAGGTGGTTCATACTGAGCAAGCTTTTGTGTTCAGTTTTTTATTTTCGTCTACAATAGCTTTATATTTCTCTTTCATTTCTGCTAATTCTAGGTGAAGCAGCTCTATATCTGGATCTTCTGGGTTAGCAGCTTCTAACTGACGCTTTAAAAAGTCCAAAGCACTATTAGGTTTCCCTGGTTCTTCATATAAGACTACCACAATACCTTCTTGGTCAGCACCCCTGACTTCAAGTACCTCCAGAGCTGCTCGTGCTTCAAGTGGGCGGCTTTGTAATGGGCCGCAGCGACAGCAGCAGCAGCAGAGCTGGTGCCCCAGACTGTGTCTGGTGGGCTCCAGTAACTGGAATTTTTATGATGGTGAGTTACTTTTATTTTTTATTTAATTTTTATGTATGGTGAATTATTAAATGGCTTCATGGGAGTTAACCAAATATTCAAGCATCTGTTAAATAATTTTTTTCTTTCTTTTTTGTTTCTACTGATGTATGATCCGATCGTTATCAAATATGAAGTTGCCTGAATCTGAGCCTTCGAATGTAGTCATCACTCTGTCTCATGAGTCACAGTACTTCAATTATTAGAGCTTTATAATACATTTTAACACCTCATAGGCAAGCCTTCTTTCATCACTCTTCTTTTTCAAAATTTCTTATCCATTCTTGCAGGTCCATTCCTCAAGATGATCCTGGGAACTTCACTACATTTCAAGATGTTATTGAAAAAACATAATTTGGAAAAAATGAAGCATCTTTATAACACTCATTTTTTCTTCCAGAGCTCTATTTCTCTTGGTTTATCTCAAGTGATCTTTTGAGACTCTTCAGTAAAGCTTTGTGATTATTTTTATATAGGTCCCTCTTTTTTCCTTAGGTTTCCAAAATAAACAGTTATAGGTTTCCCAATATTTTTACTCCTCTAATAGTGATATACTTTATTTGCTTCAATCCCTACTGTACTTAATTTTCTGTTCATTTATCACTAATTCAATCCTACACTCTCCCTAACTTATGTAACTATTCTTTCAGTTTATACAAACATGACAGATATTTTACCAAATTCTTGCTCTGCTTTGATGTGAATTGAATGTTCTTCTGAGGATTCCATGCTCTATCTTCTGTACTGGGCCTTCTGTTTCCTAGATTTCACACAATCTTTCTTCTTGGTGTCTCCAATCAGACCAATGCTTATATAGGCTTTGTCATTACATTAGAGGTGTTGATAGAGGTCAGTGAAAAACACTTTCCAATAACTGGTGCTAGGTTCGTTTGGATCATATATTAAAAACAGTAAAACTGGCTTCTTTTTCAACCACACACAAAAATCAATCCCAAGTGGATTACAGATGTAAATGTGAAAGATGAAACAATAAAACTTCTAGAAGATAACACAGAAGAGTATCTTCACGATATCAGGATATAAAAGGAGTTTTTCAATAAGACACAAAAAGCACTAACCATAAATTTACAATTAGAAACATCGGCTCTTCGGGGCACCTGCGTGGCCCAGTTGGTTAATCCTCTGCCTTTGGCTCAGGTCATGATCCCAGGGTCCTGGGATCAAGCCTCACATAGAGCCTGAGCCCGAAGACAGGAGTCTGCTTCTCCCTCTGCCCCTCCCCGCTGCTCTTGCTTGTACACTCTCTCGTGCTCTGTCTCTCTAGTGTGCTCTCTCTCAAATAAAATCTTTGAAATAAACAAAAAAAAATCTGCTCTTCAAAAGACACTGTAAAGACAATAACATGCAAAGAGTGGAAGAAATCTGCAAACATTTAATAAAAGACAAGTATGAAAAATATGTTAGAACTCCTCCAAATCAATGAGAAAAAGGCAAGCAATCCAACAGAAAAAAGGACAAAAGGCAAGCACTTCACAAAAAAGAGGTTATCTAAAAGGTCAATAAACATGCAAAATGGTGCTCAATCTGATTAAAAAATCAGCAAAAGACAAAATAAAACCATAATGACACACCATTCAGCTCTGATTAACCAAATCACACAAATGGCAACTGCAAGTACTAGCAAGGATATGGAGCAAAATGAACTTACACACATTTGGTGGGAATATAAACAGGCATAATGACTTCAGAGAACAATTTAGCATTATCTAGCAAAAGTGAAGATCTGCAGAACTTATGATCCAGCACTGCCACTTCTGGATATATACTCTAAGGAAAGCTTGCCTGTGTGCTCTAGCTGACATAAATAGAAGAATCTTCATGACAGTTTTGTTTGTAATAACAACACTAAAACTAATTCAGAGTTCTAAAACAGGGCAATGGACAGATAAATTATGAGTTAGTCAAAGAGTGGGTAGTATCTAGCTACACAAATAAACTACAGCTATGAGCAGCATGAGTGAATCAGGATAAAAAGAATACATGCTGTATGAATCCATTTGCATAAGTTCAAAAATGGAGAAAACTAAAGTATATTAATTATACAGCTAAGAATCTATGGGATAAACTAAGCAGGGAATAATAAGTCCCAAATTCCTGGTACTGATTACCTTAATAGCAGCTGGAGAACAGGAGATACAATCACATCACAATGAGCATACAAGGGGGTGTCAAAGATGTTGGGACTGTAACTACTGACTCGAGTGGTGGGGACTCGGGTATTCTTCTTCTTAAGCCACACAAATACGTCATATACTCTTCAGTATTTGTAGGTCATAATAAAAATTTTTAAAAAACACTTAATGGTCTGCAGATCCCCTCATTAAACCTCTGGAGCTCACAAACTGCCCTTGCCTACCCTGTAGGATTATTTTCTAGAGAGTGAACCTGGAACACTCCTGTCATGGGAATGCAGGCACAGCAGGCACAGCTGAAGGAGGGGATCAAGGGAAAGCCTACCTACGGCATAATGAGATGCCAACCCCCTTCCCTCTCTCCAAATCAATTACTACATTCTTTAACTATCATTAGTTAAATGTTTTTCTCATTGATATGAACTTATTAAGTTCAATATATCAATTTCAACATATCATATGCCAATCCTTATGTATTCCTGTATCACCAATATCCCACAGGTTTTATCTGTCTCTAATTGTTCTATGGCCCTATTGAGTCCCAGCATGGACTACACTGCCTTTTTGGCTGGCGGCACATCATTCATGTTCTCCATGGAGAGCTTAGAGCAGTTACGCCTGTCATCATCATTACAGGTTTAACTTTTGGTTGAGCTGTTGTTGCTTTGTGCGTGTAATGGGAGTATTAACTTAGAAAACATAGTCTGTGACAAAAATGCAGTATTATTGTGTTCTGGAATTTGATCATGTGATAAAATAGCCAAAAAAAAGTTAAAACTCACCTCTGCCACTTCCTTTTGAAAAGTCAACATCATCTGGGTTCTGCCATAAACAAAAGGTCCACCTCTACAAGAAACATTTTCAAGCCACTTGATAATCAGCGGAGTTGATACATTAAAAGGCAGATTTCCAATAACATGTACATTTGGAGGATCTGGTAAGCAGGAGAAAAAAACAACCTGTAACGATTTTATTAATGGATTCTGAATACAATTTTAGCTAAGAGTAAAATCAAACTGCATACTAATAGTATCAAACAAAAATATATAAAAAGATATGGCTAAGTATTTTTCAGTCCATTTATTCTTCAAAAGCAATGTTTTCTCACAATCAGCTTTGAATTATTAAGAAAAAAATTCTAGGGGCACCTGGGTGGCTCAGCCGTTAAGCATCTGCCTTCAGCTCAGGTCATGATCCCAGGGTCCTGGGATCGAGCCCCGTGTTGGGCTCCCTGCTCTGCGGGAAGCCTGCTTCTCCCTCTCCCACTCCCCCTGCTTGTGGTCCCTCTCTTGTGGTATCTCTCTCTGTCAAATAAATAAATAAAATCTTTAAAAAAAAAAAGAAAAGAAAAAAATTCTACCTTAATTACTGCTCAAAGTCCTTAGGTTTTTCAGCTTAGGAAAAATATGAAAAAGACTTGGTTTGAGGAAAAAGACAATTGATCTGGACATGATATGGTCCAAGTATCTGCACCTAGATGATGCTGTTAGAGGGTCAGATGCCCAGGAAGGGGATACTGGCTGCATATACAGACGGAAGTGTCTGCGATATACACGTGGTCAGTGAAACCACGGGAGCAGAGTCCTTCAGGCCAATCTGTAGCACGAGGAAGACGCTCAAAAAAGAAAAATCTCAGGAACAACATCTAAGAGGAGGTGGGTGGAAAAATAACCACCAGCAAAGAATAGCTACAGAAAGCTCACACAATGTAAAAGGAAGAACAGGAGAACCTGGTATCAGGGAAGACAGGAGCAGAGATAACCTCTGGAACAGAGTAGGCAACAGTCACATAAATGCCTGAGAGCTCAGTCAGATAAGGTCTGAAGAGGAAATCAGGAGGTCAGTGTGACTCCAGCATGGCTGGGGCAAGGCTGGAAACCTGGAGTCAGTGTGCTTAGAAGAGAATGGCATGTTGGAAGGCGGGGACAGGCAGTGCCGACCTCTCTGAAGAAGCCCGGCCGTGGAGAGGCCGGAGACAGGAGGCAGTTAGATGGAGGCCCACAGTAGCACCTGCATCTGCTTTGATGGGTTTCACAGGCAAGTAATACACCCCACCTATCTATGTGTCCCAGCGAGCTGGCACATAGCAGGTACCCAATAAACAGTCTACAGATGAAGAGTGCCTTGGCTGGTCACTGAATGTGAGACCATGGAAATTAGATGGGGCGTGGTTTACTAAAACATTTCTTTTTTCACCATTTGTAAAAATTTAACAGTCATAGTTTATCCCATCCTTACATGGTATCATAAAAATTGCAAGTTTATTTGAAGAGAATTCTGAACATTTAAAAAATATGAGACAAGTAAATTAGAATTTAAAAAAAGGAATTAGATTTATTATTTTGGAAAAAAGAAAAAATTACAATGCATAGCACCTATTTAATTCTGTTCTGATAATATTTAATATAAATGTATAATAACATTTGTAACATATAATAACATAAATATTTGTACTATAAATAATAAAAGAAAATAATAAAAAACCCCAAATCACTTACCATCCTCCCACCGTCTTTTAAGACTTCCTGGAAAAGCCCTTTCTATCTTAAATGTCAACACATCTCCATGGACAATTCTCAGTTTTCCAGGTGCTGCATCAGAAAGCATCTAATTTACAAAAAGGTCAATAAAATGAGCTCATACTTTAGAGGATAGTGAAACACACACACACACATACTCTCTCTCTCTCTATATATATATATATATATTTTTTACTTCAGATCTGTGCATCAAATCAGTATGAAAAGGCAGAGACTAAGAGTGATCACTAATGAACTAAGAGTACACCGTGTCTACTGCAATAGACAATCCTGATGTTTCATTTCTAACACATATGAATGACCTATGATGGTAACAGATTATAGTAGAGCAATAGCTTATAATTTCACAAATAATATATTAACATAATTCTGACCCCCAGAATAACTTGCATTTCTGTACAGATTTAGCAAAAACTCAATTCCTATCTGCAAGGTTTTTTGTATTTTTTTTTTAAGATTTTTATTTGAGAGAGAGGGAGAATGAGCAGGGAGTAGGGGCAGAGGGAGGGAGAGAGAGAAACAGCAGGGAGCCTGACTTGGAGCTCGATCCCAGGACCTGGAGATTATGAGCTGAGCAGAAGGCTTAACCGACTGAGTGACTCAGGTGCCCCTCTATCTCCAAGTTTTTAAATTATAGACTAAGGACATTAAAATATTGAGAACTATTTGGGAATAAATCATAAAGATGAACTTAATTCAATAAATCTTTATAGCCTAAATACATACAAAGAATTTTACATATTACCAAGAGCTATAACCTAATCTAACAGTAGATTCAAATCAAGTAGAAAGTCATTTGTCATTGCCAAGCTACATGTGGCACCGAGACACTCCCCTGACATTCCTAATCTTACTATTTCTTGATCCACAGGCACTTTCAACCTAATGAATTAACTATCCCGCATGTTTTACCAATAGCTACCTTCTAGCCTATTTCTACTTTCCAACCACTTGTTTTCGTTCCTCTTCCTTTAGTCTAAGTATAAAAGGAAAAAAAGGGGGGGGGAAGTACCCTTTTCTTTCTTATTTTTCTTCATTTTATCTACCTTAGCACCATACCTTGAGAAATGCTCTCACAGTACTAAAGTGTTGGCACCCATATGAAAAGCGCCTTGAAACTAAGCCATCTATATATTTGTATTGCTTTAAGGGCCCCTGTACCCAACACAAAACTTATTCTTAAAGTCCTTGGCTTAAAAACAAAAAACAAAAAACTCCAAAATCCCAATCCAGATGCAGTCCCTGACGCTTACAAAGTTTAAAATGCAGGAGTGAATGCAACTGATGAGAACAAACATCCCTGCTAATATAGATTATAAAGAAGAGGTGACCCTCTTTCCACATCAAGTCTCACCTCAAGGAGCTCAGACACCCTTGGCTCCAAATCAGGGAACTTCTGCCCTGAGCACCCCTTACTCCTCTAGCTCAGTTAAAGCTGATTCTCTCTACTAACCCTTCCCTTGCCTAATTCTGGCAACTGATAGGAAGGATGAAAGAAACATCACAGAAGCCAGAGAGGAGACCCTGGACCCAAGCACCTAGTTTGTAGATTACTTCTGCCTTTGGGTTAATGCTATGTCTCGCATATGCTTCTTTACAGCATTTATAACATACTATATTGTGATTGTGTACAGAGAGGCTTCTTTCCCATGTAATAACATATGCTCCTTAAGGGTAGTATCTGTTTCTCATCTACTTTAATGTCCCTTGCAGCTACAACAGCACACAGTAGGTGCTTCACATTTTTTGATAAGTGAATGACCAACTGTAAAACTGGAACCTTCCCCTCCCAGACCGAGATTTGAGGGTCCCAAAATCTGTAAGGTCAAGAAACTTGCAAAGATTTATTTCACTGATAAATCAGGTAGAATTATATAAGTAACATTTCGGAAATTCAGAGCTCAAATGCTTATACTGGTAAGAAGCTAAACATTTTCAATTTGGGAATCATCTAGTTTAGTACGTTTCATCATGGTAGTTTAGCAAAAATAACTGCGTACTTCTGATATTAATGTACTTATGGATTATTTTAAATTACCAAGATTTGCTAAAACTTAATCTGATGAGTTCCAGACAATAAATCATCAAAAACATAATATCCTCAATACATTATGAATAAAAAAGGAGCTAGTTCTCTGTAGGACAGGCTCTTACTATATAAAAACTGTGTATTTAATAGCATTTACTATCAATGAAGAATGTTTTTTTCTATAATTATGCTTCACATAATTAAAACAAATTAGCATACCAAAAACAGAAAGGCAGAAGAACTAAAAGCTTATGCTTCATAATATCAATATATAGAAAGTAATAATTAGTAATTAAGACTACAACAAAACAATGTAAACTTGGCTCTTTGGCATTAATATACATGCTCTGATAACCACGTTTGAAATGTTCATTTTTTTCTACAATGACACATATAGCTGCATACCAGAAAACTGATATAACACACATTAACCTTCCTTTCCTAGATTTAAAGTTGCATTTCTATCCTATTTCTTTTGGATGCCCCTTCAGGCTTAAGTCTCAGTCAATGACGAAGCAAATCCTCCCATTCTTTAAAAGGTCCATCTTTTAAGACCACTTTGTAGCTTGGTCGTCCCCTTTCAGACTCCCCACTGCAGAAGGAATGAATATTGGTGACCACAGCTTTAAGTGAAGTCCTTGAAACAATTATGGGGGGAAAAAACACTATACAAACTGAAATTATAGTATGATTACAGACAACAGCCATTTAAACACCTAATGATATTCAGCAATGACACATGAACACTTTCCTACCAACCACTAATAGAGAAAGATGTTTTCATTATCCTGACAATATTTGGGGGATGGTGGAGAGGTGGGAAAGATCACCGTTATAGCCCTTCAAGAATACTGCTACATTACACTTTAAAACCCTGATGGTGTTAGCTCATAATGTGCTCAAAGGCACAGCCTACTATGAATGCAAGCACTTGATTACAGCCAAATGAGTATTTTTACAGACACTCTTAAATTGTTCTATCATTTTTATTTTAGTTTTCAATCCTGTATCCTTCCAAAATGAGATTTAAGTCACCTTAGAGTAAAAGGCATTCATTAGCTAAGGCTGTAAAAGAAGAAACAGAAAACCAAACCATGAAAAGGAGAAGCACGTATTTAAATCCTAGAGGTGTTAACTCACAATTTATATACTGAATTACAGAATTTTTAGTGTCTACTGGAAATAATTATACTAAATCCCCAAGAGAGAAAATGGTTTTTTTGTAGCATTAAGTTTTATAAGGGACATAGGGAACAAAATAATGGCGAATGCCTTTAATAAAAATGAGGAAACAAATGCAGGAGAATTCTTCATTTGGTGATTTAAAAAATCTCTCTCTTCTAAGTCAAGGTCTTAGAGATAGCTTTTCCACAGGAGGCAAGTAACTATGGTCCACCTAGGTAATTTGTTGGTGATCTAATCTGATGAGGAAATAATTTATGCAACTCTTGGAACTTAGACACAACTAGAAATTCCTTGAGAACAAAGAACTATACTGACTGGTCATTTTGTATGTTTTATGCCACCTTCTCATCATGAGGGGCTCATGGCAACCAGCACTATACAGTGAGCTAAAGCATTAATTACACAGCCTGGTGGTATTACCTTCTTTCTGACTTGCTACATAGTAGGAACCCAAACATTGTTGAAGTGCTGGACAGAAGTGTTAGGCAAACTATATGAGAAAGAATCTGTAATATAGAACATGACAGATGAAAGACAAAATTTGTATTCTTCTAAAGAACACATAAAAAAGACTAATGCTATTATTCAAAAGAATTTAAGACAATGTTAATATAGATTTTTAAGGTGAAGATTACAGCATGATTTCAAAAAGTCAACTTGTTTTGTTTTTTAAATAGGACCCAAACACGCATAGCATAAATTAATTTACTCAGCCTCGTCAAGGATTTAGAGATTTGATTTAGTAAACTTTCTATTCAACCAGCAGTTAACATTTCTTAAAAAGAAACTTACATAGTATCATGTCCTGTCTTTTTCTTGTCCAGTTGCTGTGGCTAGGACTTCCAGTAATATAACAAATAAAAATGGGGAGAATAGACATCCTTGTCTTGTTCCTGATCTTAGAGGAAAAGCTCTCAGTTTTCCACTATTGGGTATGACATTAGCTGTGGGGTTTTTCACAATATCATGTTGAGGTATGTTCCCTCTAAACCTATTTTGTTGAGTTTTTATCATGAATGGATGTTGTTCTTTGTCAAATGCTTTTTCTGCATCTAGGATCATATGGTTTTTATACTTTCTCTTATTAATGTCATGTATCACATTGATTAGCGAATACTGAACCACCCCTGCATTCCTGGAATAAATCCCAGTTGATCAAGGTGAATGATTTTTTTGAATAACAATGAAGCAGCAGAAAGAAAAATTAAGGAAATAATCCCATTTATAACTGCACCCAAAATAACAAAATGCCTAGGCATAAACTTAACCAAGGAGGTGAAAGACCCATACTCCGAAAACTATGAAACACTGATGAAAAAAATTGAAGATGACACAAGTGGAAAGGTATTCCATACTCATAGACTAGAAGAGTCAACATTGCTAAAATGTCCATAATACCCAAAGCAATCTACAGGTTCAATGCAATCCCTATCAAAATACCAACATTTTTCACAGAACTAGTACAAATTACCCTAAAATTTATACGGAACCACAAAAGACCGCAAATAGCCAAAGCAAACTTGAAAAAGAACAAAGCTGGAAGTAACACAATCCCAGATTTTCAGATATACTGCAAAGTTATAGTAATCAAAATAGTATGGAACTGGCAAAAAAAAAAAAAAACAAAAAAAAGAAAACAGGCACAGAGATTAATGGAGCAGAATAGAGAGCCCAGAAATAAAACCATGCTTCTTTGGTCAATTAATCTTTTACAAAGGAGGCAAGAATATATAATGGGGAAAAAGATGATCTCTTCAACAAATGGTGCTTGGAAAACTGGACAGCTACATGCAAAAGAATGAAACTCTACCACCTTCTTACATCCTACATAAAAATAAACTTAAAATGGATTA